CAACCACCAAATGCACTTAAGACCGTTCCCGCATCTTAATCCCATGCATTCAAATAATCCATCACTCAAGAATTATAACATGATTGCACAATCAACATATTCATATTCAATAACATCATATTCATCGAGCAATGCACACATATTCACAATATGTTCCCATGCATTCTTCACTACATCCCATACAAACAATATGCATTCACAACATCGTGCTCACAGTAACGAATTCAATAACATTCATCATGCATTTTAATCAATTAAAAAAATGCATTACATTTGTCAAAAGACCACAATTCATAATCTAGGATTCACGCCATACGGCTACCCACAGCATATACTTCACGACACACAATTATTCATTCCAACGAGGATCAAACACAATTGAACCAGGAAATCAACATGGAATGGAATCATAGAGAAAACCAATTTCTGTCACGCTCACTAGCATGCTCGCCTAGCGAGTCCATAGCGAATACTCGCTATCTGTTCGCCTAGCGAACAAGCTCGCGAAGGCAAACAGAAGCTACTGACTTGCTTCGCTACCCAGCTCGCTACAGTGAAGTCCTAGTGAACCTTCGCTGCCCCATTCGCTACCAGCGAAGAACCTCAATTCCATTCTGCCCAAGTCTGGGACCGCTCGCTACCTACTCGCTACAGCGAAGTCCAGCGAATGTTCGTGACCAGCTCGCCTAGTGAACAAGCTAGCGAGTATCTGCGAACTTCAAAAGCCTCACTGCCCAACTTTCATAACTCTCCACAAAACCGACCGATTCTCACCAAACAAGTTCCATAGCCTTAGTCTAACCTCCCTCGACTAAATTATACCACTTATTCTCATTTTTGACCGTTAAAACTCGGTTTCCATCGATTAAATCTACTTTGCCCTAAAATGGAAGTTGTAGAAAAACATCCAACAATTTAACCCAAGCATACATAATCATATACATTGCTAGAATAACAATATTTCACACCCTTATCTTGGTTAAATTGATGCTTGAGAGTTGTTCTTGAGCTTTTCCAACTTTTCCTTCTTCTCTTTCTCTTTTCTCCCTCTTTTCTATTCTTTCTCTTATGTTTCCTCTTTTTCTCTTTTCTTTCCACTTTTCCTTTATAAGTCTTTCTCTTCTATTCTTTCCATCATATTTCTCTTCTCAAACATCTACCAATTTCATTTAATTAATCATCCATCAATTAAACAATCCCCACAAATCATTTAATTAATATAAATAATTAATTAATAAAAATTGGGCTGTTACAGGACGGACGGACCGGCTCTGATACCAACTGTAACACCCCACTCTACCCCGTACGCGTATTATAAAACATATACAGAAATATTACATAAAAGTACATCAGAGTTCTCAAAACAAGTAGGATGTCACACAAAGTCACTTCATTCTTCATAAATAAACCAATACTATCTAGCTTTCAATTAAACAGCGGAATAAAGTCAGTTGTTTAAACATAATCTCCACCACAAGGTGATCATACATCCTCAGTCCAACAAATAAAAGATACGTAACAATTAATCAAGAAAATAAGTAAAATATAACATAATCTCGTCATCCCATGTTACGTACCAGAGCGACTCCTAAGACTCAATCAAATAACAATGCACTCCAAGCACTACTCAGGTACCCAGTCATCTGCACTCCCCAAGGAGCACAACGCAACAACAGAAAAGGGGTGAGAACTACATTCAATAAATAAGCAGTGAAATACACATGCTAAGGAGTAGTTACACACCACACATACAATTATACATATACAACGCACATACACGTGCCACCTCAATCACTCGGCATCAATAGCTCATAGTCAGATACAAAAATGCAATGTGACTCACTAACTCGACACAATGCATGTGGTACCAACACAAATACGTACGGTTCACCCTAGAACCCGATTCCCGTCGGAATCTGGATAATTCGTATACGTTCCTCTGAACTACAACTTATCTCCACAACGACTTCCACATGATGTCCGAATGAAACTAGGCACCCATCATGGATTCCCACATAGCCATCTCCACAAGACACATGACATGAAATGCGTGACAACACAATTATGCAATATAATAATTCAAGCATAATTCACGATCATCGAAGATCTACACGAGCCACCCGCTCACCATAGTCCTCTCGTGAATTACCACAATCGCACAAGATTGTCCAATTTCGACAATCATGGCTCATACTCATCAAAACACACCCATAAGGGCACACCCAGATAATTCCACATTGTCTCGATTTAATTCATTACTAATATTTCTTAAGTTCATTTTAGTTCTATTAATCCTACCGATTGGACGAAATTGCGTTCCAAACGAATTTAGGTAGAAACCACAAAAACTGGGGAAAAGTCACCTCAGACTGTTCATACGCGTACCATGTAGAGCCTGTTGTCATTCGCGTATCAGACCTGCCTTACGCGTATGACCAGGGGCTCTCACCTCCCAAAACCCCTCGAAGTTACTTCTTACGCGTATGGCTACCCCCATACGCGTATTGCCCAAGCCCGTGCGCGTACCATACGCGTATCACCAGATGGTCGTGCTGGCACTGGGGACAGGGCACGTCTGTTACGCGTACAACCCTTGGGAAATCCCCCATACGCGTATTGACACCTCCAATACGCGTATGACCAGCAGATCTGTCAAAAAACTCAGATCTCATCATTCTCACGAGTTTCTACACAATATTCATCATTCTATCTTCCCATTCATCCTCAAACTCAGATTTTAATCGATTCCAATGAATCCTATCTTCTATTCTTTCAAGATTCTAGTTATTAGATCTAGTTTCGATTACGGTTAAACCCTTGGTTTTCAGATCTGTTAATCCATAGTATTCTATCACAACTTCGGGGAATTTCCACACGAATTTTCATATTTGTACCAGAATCATACATACAATGATCATTCAACAATAACAGCAATCACAGGGAAATCATACTATCACGAAAATCAACTAAAAAGGTAAGAACAGGAAAAATTCCTACGAGAGAAAGGATCTCTCACTACCCTCTCATATTAAATCACCCATATTGAAATCCATTCTCCCCCTTACCTTAGGTTTGATCTCTTTCTTGACAACAATGGAGGAATCTTGGTTCTTCTGCCCTATCTCTCCTTCCTCTGCCTTTTCCCTTTTCACGAATGTTAACTGTTTAATCCCACTAATACTCTCTTAACCCTCTTAGTCAGATTTTAATTCATTTCATTTAATTACTAATAATAATAATAATAATAATAATAATAATAATAATAATAATAATAATAATAATAATAATAATAATAATAATAATAATAATAATAATAACCATAATCCTATTAATATTATTATTAATAATAATTGAAATAATAATATTAATAATCATAATACTCTTAATCTTGTTATTAAATTATTCATTATTTTAGGTCCACATTATCCCAACTAAGGTCAGCTCTCACTCTCGTTCCTAACCTCATACCCTTAATTAAGGATATTACGCACAACAAAGTATAAAATGACTAAATAATTTAAATGAGGTGTTACAAAGTCCAACATTGTTACTTGGAATTTGGCTCTTTCCTCGCTTACCAACGATTGGAAAATACTTGTAGAAAAGTGGTGTATCTGTTGAGCTAATTGAAAGTAAACATTGATTCATATCTTAAATAGTTGTATAGCGTGACCAATGCATTTGTGCCTGATGTGTATCTAGCGTACATTAACAAATTTCTAAATAGCAATATCTATTTTTCCTCTACAAGAATATAACTCTTATCTGTAAAAAGTGTGCACCCTACCTACAACAACGATAAATAAGCTTCAATAACATGGTTGAATTAACTAACAACTCGATGTTTCTCAAATAGGATATATAGTCACTATAGCCTACAACTATGATTCTCTTGTGTAACCTCCTATATGGTGACCCCTGATAACTCAATAACAAGTATAATATCACCTTTTTCGTTGATACTTGCTAAATGATCGTATAAATTACCTTCTTTATCAGAAGGTGAAGTTAGCATGTAATATTGTGAAGATTAATAGTCATTTCACCAAATGGCATATGAAATGACTATGCCTCTCGATGCCTCCTCTCCACAAATGATGAGATAATGACGAGATCAACCATCCTCAAATTAACTCATTGAAGTGAAACTATATCAGAGTCATCTAACCAATCTTGTATCACAGGACGGAGATATTGTAGAACTCAAATGTGTTGTAATCTTTAATTCTTTCTTCGAACCTTGCTCTTCAAGAAAATTTAAATCATACATTTTAAAATATATGAATTTTTTAAAAATTAAATATTATTACAAATAAAAATTCTCCATGCCATAATCAAGGAACAACGTGATACTCATATTATATCAAAAAGATGCATCAAACATGATGCTCTTGAAAAATAATGTTTTTTTGTCTTCTTGAAAATTGATGTTATTCCTCTGCAATTGTGCGTTTTTTATCTTACTCTACATAAATGACGAGTTAAGTTTGAAAACCTTATTATTCTTTACATCCACACAGGATGATCTTACTGTCGCATCTTCAACATCACTTCATTAATAAAAATATATTCATAATACATAATTAAAAATAAATTAAAAAAAAAGACCAAATTGTACACACAAGTAATTCACGGAAGAAAAAAAAATATATAAAAAATGTGTAATATCCTGATGATAAAAAAATACCTAGTGTATTCAATTTAAATAAATTGATTTAAATTGTTACAGCAGGCAATGAGTGACGGTTTTCTCTTTTCTCTCACTTGTGCACATGATCAATTAAAAAGATTGAGAAAAATATTAATTTTTCAAATGTTTAATTATATATAGAAGAGCCAATTAGTCAAATCTAAATAATTTGTAGGGGTTATTTTCGGTTTATTATGCTAGGGTTAGATTTGTCCTGAAAATTGTAAGTAAATAACATGAGTGACGTGTCATAATTGTGTTGGTAGAGGCATTAAAATAAAAACACCGACACATTAGTTAGTGACACATCATGGAAGAGCAAATCCAGAAGAAACCCAGAATCCTTTGTCTCCATGGATTCAGAACAAGTGGTCAAATCCTCAAGAAACTAGTCTCACGTTGGCCTGAAACTGTACTACAAAAACTGGATCTTGTTTTTATCGACGGTCAATTTCCAGCACAAGGAAAATCAGACGTTGAAGGCATTTTCGATCCACCTTATTATGAATGGTTCCAAGCCAATGAGGTTTATTATTGGAACAATTAATCATAATTTTCTTTACTTAATAGTTTTGGTGATTGAATAATATTTTATTTGTTTGTGTGCAGGATTTCAGTGAGTATAGGAACTTTGAAGAATGTTTAACATACATTGAAGATTTTATGCTGGAAAATGGTCCTTTTGATGGTGTACTTGGATTTTCTCAGGTACGGTTTTCATTGATGGGAAGAAGCTGAAAATACAGTTTTTTTTCTTTTGGTTTTGATTTATCATGAATTAATGTTAATCAGGGTGCATTTTTAGCGGCTGCATTGCCAGGAATGCAGGAACAGGTACTACTATATGCATTGACATGTCCATTAACTCTTTTCAACTTTTTTCTATAAGCTCTCCATGATAGGTTTAGGTTATACATAAGCACTTTGATGATAAATGGTTATGTTATAAGCCCTTAATTAAACACTTGTATGATAGTCGGATTGCGGTGTCTCGGTATGATACTTGTATGACATCCGTACGTTACTTGTCAGAATAGTCAAATAACTGTCCTCATAAAAATAATTTTTTCTTTGTTTCCACACTCTTTAAACTTATATCCGACACCTGTGTAACACTCTTAAAATTTTTTTTTCTTTATTCTTAGACACTTTGTACATTTTTTTTGACAAATCTTTAAAAGGTTAAACTTGTATTGAAGCAATGCGATTGATGAAGAATTACAAAACATTTATTTTGATTAGAATATTTTCAATATTTTAAATAATACTATTTCATATGATATGTAGCTTTGTCGATGTCTGCCATTATATATATATTATAAGTGTCAGAGTGTTTGTGTCTTGTCGTGTCGTATTCTGATGATGTGTTGGGTGTACATGATTCGTGTTAAATGGTTATGTTATAAGCCTTTAATTAAGTTGTTTAACTAAATGAAATCCTAGGTTGATATTAAATTATGATTTCTTTGATTTAGCATTGAATTGATGATGGTGGTGATGATTTTAGGGAGTAGCACTAGAGAAGATAAGCAAGATCAAGTTCCTGATTTTGATATCAGGAGCCATGTTTGGTGGAATGAAATATGGAACACCTAAGCTAGCTTCCAATGCATTTTCAAAACCAATTGATTGCCCCTCTCTTCACATTATAGGTATAGTTTCAACTTCAAGATACAATCACTTCTAATTATTTTTTGCAATCATTCAAGTCACATTACTTATTAATATACTTGTTTCTTATAATGTGATTAAGGTGAGACAGATTTCTTGAAGCCAGAAAGCATTATTTTGCAAAAGGCTTTTGTTGACCCTGTTGTGATTCATCATCCAAAAGGACACACAATCCCAAGACTTGGTAAGTCACATAACATAACTTACTTCATTTCATAATTTTGTGAACTTTTAACAATGGATGTTGCTAGGATGTTTTTTTGAACATTTGTTTTGTACGTACAAAATTGGTTTGGTAATTTTTTTGATCCAGATGAAAAGAGTCTCGCAACTATGCTTGGTTTCATTGACACAATTCAGGGAATGCTATTAGATGGTCACAACAAGGATTGAATCTTGATGTAGAATTTTTTATCCCTTTCTATGAGACCTCATCCAAAATACATAATGATTCTATGGGAGAATAATGTCTTTAGTCTGTATGTGTTAAAGTAGTTTTTTTTATTAGTATGATTGAAAGTAAAGACAATTTATGAATCAATATATATATATATATATATATATATATATATATATATATATATATATATATATATATATATATATATATATATATATATATATATATATATATATATATATATATATATATATATATATATATATATATATATATATATATATATATATATATATATATATATATATATATATATATATATGGAAAATGAAGACTTTTTACGTTGACTATAAAACCGATTTTAAATATATTTTTATATTTGTTAGTAAATAAATCATAAGTGACAATGGATGATATGGATACAATCTTTTAAGTAAGTTATGTTTTGTGGTGAAATGAGAAAAAGAAAGTGTCAAGGAGAATGAAGTTTTATGGTGTGGTGTCAAGAGTTTTAGGTACAATAAAGCGGAAAAGACATGCAAGGTTAGTATTTCAATGTTTAAGTTATTAAAGTCAGAGAGATGTAATTTGAGAGTGAGAGTGAAATAATCCCTATAATTAGTGTGGTAGGGTTTATATAAGACATGAGGCTGAACACACCTCTGTCTATCTTGATATTTGATGTGATGAGTTGTTCGATCACACCTAACGACATGCGATGATTGGGTGTTCGACTTTCTAACGAGGTTCCACCTGATCATCTGGCCTACTTGGTCAAACTCTGGATTGGGCCTTTGTAATTGGTTATTCTGCTTTGGGTCATTGGTCGATCCAGAACATTGCCATCAAGTCCTTGATGTTAGTTATTGAAGCAAGGATTGAGATTTGTAGGTTTGCACTATACTTTTGTCTTGTGTTTTCTGTGTAAGCCTTCGTTGTACAGAGGTGAAGGTGGAAAAGTGTGGTGTGTGGGAGTAGGCGGCCATGAAAAAATATGCATTAAATGTTTTCATATTCTGGGTCTCCCCTTATTTAGAACCATAGATCTGTCTCCTTCGTTTTCTTATATAAAGATGGTCCCTTTCTACAAATGATTTTTCACCTTTCTTTCTCAAACACTCTTCTGCTCACATGTTTCGCTTTATTTTTCCTTTAATTCAAGCGACATTTTGATCTATTCATTTGTCTCTTCTTCCTTGATTTCGCATTCCATTGTCATTTCTAAGTTTCTGGTGATTTCCTTAGTGTCTTGTTTGCTTCACCATTGCAAGTTTTTGTGAGGTAGTATCTCTTTCCTCTCTCTCCCACTGTTTTTATTCTCATTCTTTCTTTAGTCATGGTTGTCGCAACTGCGAAAAAAACAACCGGCGGAAACAAACAAAAGAGTCGCCACTGAACGTTATTCATCCCAAAGAGAGGGAAAGAAAACGATCGAAGAAAACCTAAAAGAAAAGAAAAGACCGGGTCATCGCAACCAAATTTTGGGTTTGGGAATCAGTTACGCAAGGGGAATGTATGAGCACCCCTCATGTCCATTGTACCCAACGGGATCTACGACTATTTTCTAATCAAAGGGTGAGTTATCTAAAAGCTACTACTAAACGGGGACGGAAAAAGAAAAAGGAGACTCGATAGAACATCGTCGTCTTGTGCCTACGTATTCCCTCGTGCAACGGGAAAGTCAGAGTCAATGTAGTTCGGAAAACTACGGGTGATGGGGGAAGGTTGCTCGCCAAGACATCATCGTCTTGTACCTACGTGTCCTCATCTGGTATGAGAAATCAGAACAAACGTAGTTCGGGTAACTAAACCACAGGTTGGTTAAGTGCTTTTTATGAGTGACATCAAGTTTCCATTCTAGCAGTTAGGGTCGATGCCTGTTTGCGGTAGAACGGGAAAGTAATGTACTCTTTTCTAAAAATGATTTTGGAACAATCCCGAAGGATAAAAATGTTTGAATTTTTTTTTAGAGTTTTAGAGAAGTGAATTGAATTTGTTTGAGATTCACATTGCACTAAAGACTATGATATAAGAGCGAATGCGTCGCATATCGCCCAAGGGTCATACACTAAACACTCTAGACAAGTGAGGAGAAACTCCCCACTCATCATTTTCCATATTCTTAAGGCTCGTGGCGCATAACGTTTATCGTTTTTATTAAGTGTCTTAGAGTTGTTTGAGATGAGAGGAGAAGACACAAAAGAAAACACTATAGGGAAACTGAAAATTCTAATGTTATCATACAAAACGGACTTAAGGTTAGGATAAAAGGAACGTCTACCTAATGTTATCATACAAATGATGGACCTAAAGTAGAGGTCAAAGAGGGACTATCCTAATTATTATCATGCAAATGATTGAGAGCCTAATGTCTCTCCTACTCCCACCTTAATTAGAAATTAAGTGGGACTAGGAATCCTAAGGGATCATGTGAGAAAGCACAAGTAAACACCATACAATTCAATCACAAATGAAAACAAGATCAAGACTTAAACAAGTCTCAAGAAAAGAAATAGAAGAATGAACGATGAAGAAGAAGATGCAACACAATGAACAATCATGAAAGTTCAAACTCAAAAGGCATCAAGCAAGCATTAATCTCAATAAAACAAGGTAAACATCAACATCATGCCAAACCAACAAGAATGTATTCATATGTCAAACCATACCCAAAGATTTGAAATCAAAACCAAATGGCAAAACAAAGTGTCCACACAGATACAAATGACTTAAAGTCCAACAAGAAGCAATATAAGTCCTCAAACCAAGAGAGATGAAGTCAAATGAGGTGAGAAACAAGGTAGAGAAGTATCATATCATGTTCAACCATGTCAATAGCCAAAGGAAGTGCACAAAAAGACATGTCATGCATCACATTCATACATAATCAATTGCTACACAAAACAAGCATGCAAGACATAACCTTAAAGGAAAAGACATGATATTAGGACATGAAACCAAATGTGGGCATCAATAACAACATGAATATCAAGTTAAACATCCCCTCATGAACACATAAGAGAAACAACAAGTATTGAATCCAAAAACATGTATCAAGAAGCAAGCACACACATCAAAGTCATTCTTAAAAGAAAGAAGATGTCCAAGCAAGGTATAAAAAAATTATCAAGTAAAGTATAGCATATCATCAAGATCAGAATCAAACATAAATGATATTTATCACATTCAAATCCAAATCAACACCCAAACTCATGAAGAAACAAACTCAAGTTCATGCGCAAAAGGCTATGCAAACATCCCTCAAGTCATCCATAAGAGAAAAAAATGATCATGTGAAGTAAATAAGACAAATTGATATGCAATGAACCTCTAAATATGAAGGTCAGAACCTTAAATAAGTCAACACAAAAATCATCAAGCATCAATTGGATCATTCAAGAAACTAGGTCAAGAAACTAGGTCAAGACATGCACAATATCATGGTCAAAACAACATCGACTTGATACATCATCCAAAAATATAAAAATGATCAAATAAATTCCGAATAGAAGCTCAAACCCAAGTCATATCCATTAAGAACAAAGGTGCAAAATATCTCAAAAGGGATTGCATGAATGCATCATCAAATCAACTCATCAAGTCAAGCATAGTATAAGAGTCGAGCATACATCGAAGCTCCAAAAAAAGCAATGAGAAAACATTAAAAACAACACATCAAGACATCCAAACAAACCTCAAACGATCAACATTCATATACCAAAACATGGAAAAAAGATTGGGTCAAGAAGGCATAACAAAGGTATCAAATGATCAAACCATCATTCAAGGGTAAACATGTCGAACCACTCTTAAATTAAATTCAATTAAAAATAGTAAAAATAAATGAAAAATAAAATAAAAATATGGAAAAATATGTCAACATGCTAAAGAATCAGAAACACGTTTTTTTGTATTTTTAAAATGGTTTTATTAATTAAAATAAAAATGAAATTGAAAATGACAATAAAATATAAAAAGAGAAGAAAATAGGCCATGAGGGTAAGAAAGCAAAAACATATTGAACATGACTTAGTTATAATATGAATATCAAAAAGGAAAAAAACCCAGTCCAATTCAAATATAATCAGCTGCCATGTGGATTTCATTAATCTAGTCAGCGCATAGTCATACAAGCCAGCGAATAAAAACAAAACACATCAAATCATTCAAATTAAAAAAAAACGCGCGCATGCAACATAAGCCCTTCTTCAACTTTAAGACTTCAGAGCCCTAGCTCTGGTCGTCTTCTTCGGCCAACCCTCACCGGGGACACCTCATAACATCTAAAAACAAGAAACAAAACCACTTTTCCACTTATTTTTTCACGTAGATCTCAAATTAACCATCAGTTTTCACAAATGAACGCTCCAACTTCCTAAAATTCAACCATGAAAAATGAACCATGAAAATTGGAACTCTTTAAATCAAAACAACAAATCATGCAAACAATGCCTACCATGTGTAGGATTTCAGATGCATCCAAAATGATCCTAAAATAAGTCTAGCATGAGAGGAAAGAGAGTTGAGAGTTTTACCTAATGAAGGAAGTCCATTGCTTCTTCTCAGCAAGAGATAAATTCATAAAATGATGTGGGAAGCTTCAAAATCACTTGGAGAGTGTAGATCAAGGCTTGCTTTGCTCAGAAAGTTGCTAGAAAGCTTCAACAGATACAAACTGATGTTGAAAAAAATTGAGCTTGCAATGCTTCTAATGGTGAATACAGAAGGTATTATTTGCGTATATAAGCAAGATGAGGCTTAATGGAAGATGATTCAACCAAGAAAATAACAAGATCTCCCAAAAATGAAGGAAATCGAAGATAAAAAGAAATGGAAAATTTTGAGGTTCAGAAATGAGAATGAAGTCACTGCCTCCCTTTTGGAACAAAATAAGCTTTTATAAGGAGTGTCTAGGTTTGGATAAAAATGTGGAAACGAAGTTGGAGGTTTGGGAGTTGTTGTTTAGGTTTGTAAAATGAAACAAAGTGAAAAC